TCCTTGGGCCCCCCTTCGCACCTGGCAACGATCTGGAAAGTAGCCCCGTGACGCACGATATTCAGAAAGCACAGGGCCTTGTCTTTAAAGGGCGCGAAGAACGAGTCCACTCCCAGAGCCCTGTTGAACTGATGTGTCTTGGGCAGCGCGACTCGCCGATAATATGAGGGCTTCCGGTGGGCCGCGCAATCGGGGCGCTGGAAATGTATTCTAACATGCGCGAGCACCTCTGGCTTAGCTTGTGCTGCTGTCAAGACCTTTGCGAAGTTGTCAACGGAGGGGTGGCCCAAATTCACATGGATATTGTAAAACGTGTCCTGAACCTTGGGGGTAATTTCCATGGCAGACTCGACCTCCTGCTGTTCTCGGTCCTGGCCCTGGCCCTCTCCTTCCTTAGGACTAGGGGCCGAATGAACTGGATGCACCTCCCTTCCTCGTTCCTCATATCCTGGAGATCTCTGAATGTTCGAGGGCCTCTGGATGTCTTCGAATGAAGCTGAACAGCACAGACGCCGGCGGCGGCCCCCGCACTTCGACATGAACCTGCGGGGCGAAGGGCTGGCACTCCTCCTTCCTCGCCTCCGCAACTCGTTTGGGACTAAACTGATCTCGGCACAGGTGATGACGTTGCCTGGTTCCTCGGCCCCCTTGACACTTGAGCGAGAGAGCTGCCTTCCAGCACCGCGTGCTTGCGACCTCCCTCGCACCGAAAACCGAACGCGGCCCTTGCGATTTCAACGCGGTTCGCCAGAAGCCCGGTAGGTCTCATGGGCACTCCTTCTGAAGAGACTGACAGGTCGAACCGACACTGATCGATTCGCACAAAGAACATCCCTTCCAGATCTCCGAACTTCGAGACGAAATCCAGCTCCCAGGACGAGGCTCCACTGGGTTGCTCCAGCAGAAACTCTCTGCCCGTTCTGCGCTGCATCTGAGCGAGCTCGATGGCGAATCTCAGCGTAATCATGCCCTCCACTCGAGTTCTCAGGACATCCCCACTCGGCTCCTGATGACCGCTTATGGACAGTATCTGTGAGAACGCCTTGCAGGGAGGCTCAAGGAACACGAACCATGGTTCCCCCCTAGCGATGAGTGGCCGGGCTCTCTCGCGATCCCCTGACTTCCTGAAGCCCCATCCTGTTAAACGAGTCCCATCGCCTGAAACTTACGCATGAGAGGGGCCACTCTGGGCGGCGAAAACACATCCACTAACCCTCCTGGCGCCATGACTGGGTGGGCGGGAAAGTTGCCAGGGCTGGGGCGTCTAATCTTCTTCGGGGGATTCCTGGGAATAGTGGGCTCTAGATCATCGATGGTTGTGTCTCCCATCCATAGCTCCTGCCAGTCGGTCTGCTCGAATAGTACCACCGGCACTTCGCACGCATAAACATAGTGTAGGTCGCGGGTGCCGTTTGCTTATTCTTAAAAACATATTTATTGTTCAAACAAAAATAGCATGGAAAACGATCAAACCCGGCCAGTCAAGAGAGAGAGAGAGAGAGAGAGAGTTCCCGAGACCTTCTCGACAATATCTTGTCGCGCGGCTAGAGGAACAGAGTTGGGCAGCATCACTTGGTCTGCTCTGGGGACCTCATCTGTGACCAACCCTTCTCGTCGTCCAGAATGACAGTTGGTGAAACTGGCCCTGCTCTATCTTGACTTTCGGGTCCTTGGTCTTCACCTGAGCGGGCGCCGCCGTCGAGCTCGACGACAAAGTCTCCAGACGCTCGAGAGTCGCATTCTGGTCCTCCACCACACTCATGATACGCAACATCATCTGTTTCTGTTCGGCCAACTGATCCTCCGTCTTCTGAATTCGCTGGCCCATCCCCGCGGTCTCCTCGATGTTGACTCTCTTCTTGTGCACGCGCGCCTTGGATAGGCTGGGTCCCGAGGGCAGCTCGGGCTCCTGTACCAGATCCTCGCCGATCTGGTTTAGCCCCATCAGGTGAACAGGACTCGCTCGGGGCTCTTCCGCCACCACTCGCAGAACTCTCTGCCGAAGATTCGGCGGTAGAATCAAGTTGCGATCCACAATGTCCATGATGTCCTCGCAGCAGCACGGGCACCTCTCCATCGTGATCTTCGGGGTCACCTCCTTCTTGGTACGATATCCCGCGCGAAGTTCGCAAGCGTCGCATTTCCACCACTGGGCCTGACCGCTCGCATCGGCTCGAAGGTGGCTGAGGGGGTGCCGGCAGCTGAGCTGTTGCACCAGGAACTAGGAGCCTCTTCTCCCTCTTCCTGGCCTTCAGAGGCCACAGACGATCGCACTTGGTCACGTGCATGAGCTCCCACGAACGAGGGTTCTGGACCGCTAGCGCCCGGCTCACCAGATGCCACCAAGCAGCGGCCATGCGACCCTGCGGCTTGTTGGAATGCAACATGCTTGGAAGTCACTGCAGGATGGGCTGCCGGGCGAAGACGCAACCATTGATCCGCGCGGATGCGCCGTAGAAGCTGCGCATCCACATTGCGTCCCTTGTCTTCGTCTTGAAGAGGCTTTCCCATGTCGTCTCTTTCTCGTCATTCGTCGTCACCTCTCGTCGGGCTCCTATCTCTCTCGTGGACGCTCGTCGTCAACGGGTCGTCGCGGGGGCGGCGCTGGGTCGGGGGCGCTCTAGATTCCTGAGACCGGCTGGAGATAGAAGAGAAAGGAGGGGGGCTGACGCTGATGCCCGATGCGATGTGACATATGCCGCACCGTCTTGATTCGGCAAATGAATGCAGTCTGGTTCCAGGTCGGGAAAACGTTTCAAAACTCCCCCCGGGCAGGAAAACTCCTTGGGAGACGCAAACTCATCGATGCGAGTGCACCGATGTCCCGCGGGAAGCGGAATCATAGAGACCTGACGACCCTGGGTGCCCAGAAACCGAAAGAAGATCCTATTCTCTGCTAGATTGATTTCTGCGCCTATAGCCTCGAGCAATCCTACTGGCATCAGAGGTGGGGCATCATCTTCCATAACATCTACCTCCAGGATGCACATGTGCTTCTGAATCCCCGTAGGCAGCAAAACGTCGTCGATCACTTTGGCTGAGCCTCCTATTCCTCTGGCGGAAGAGCGTCTGGGAGGTAGCGAGACAGATCGATATCCTTCGTCAGCTGCTCTCTCGCCAAACAGAGCAAGAGAGTTCTTTCCGATCGGTCCCTGGCCCGCCGCGGCGTCCACGATGCTGCGCCCCGGCGGCGCTGGCATGGCGGTGCGCCCAGAGGTCTTCAGCACGACCCCGCTGTTGTCAGACACTCTGGCGCGGGCGTCGCCCACCGGGCGTTGAGTTTCCGAGCCCGCCAGGAGCGTGAACGAGCTCTGCCCCGGGCTGGACACCTCCTCGCTCAAGAAAATGAAGTTCGTCTCCTTGGCTTTCGGCTTGCTCTCCGAACCCGAGCCTGATGTCTTGCCGGCTGCCTGGGGGCGCTCGTTGCCCCAGTCCCTCTTGCCGACATAGTCGACAGCGCGTTCGTCTCATGACCTCCGTCAGCGGCATCCTCTATCTCCTGGGCCTGAAGGGCCCGCCCTGTCCACGCTGTCCCGCAGGTCGATCTCGCCCAGGTTTCTGGCCCCCCGGAGGAGAAGGAGGTGTCTGAGAGTAATACTTGCGCCCTGTCTTCAGCTGTCTTTTGAAGTCCCCATTCTGTTTCCAAGTCTTTCCCCGTTGAGTCTGCGTCTCGATTGGCACCTCTGGGGCCTCCGTCTCGCAGAGATCTCGGCTCTCCAGCGCTCATAACCAACACCATCTCATCGTTAGTGCACATGCTGGAAACGTCGTCGTAGTCCAACAGCTCTGGATCCGACCCCCCGTCGTTCGCGAATGTCTCTCGTGAGCAATTACCCGATGTCGTCATCATGGTCTTCAGCTTGGCCGTCGTGAGCGTCTCCTTCTTGGAGATGTCCAACTCCCGAAGCGCCCTCAGGACCGACTGATAGTCACCTCTATCTCGCGTGAGTACCCTGACCAGCTGAGCACTGTGATCGTCGAGGGAGGCTCCCTCTTCAGCAAACGTCCTCTTCCAGTCGTCTGGAACCTCCATGCCCTGAACTCTGAGTCGATCAAACTGCAGATCTAACCTCGCTGTGAAATCTGTCAATGACTCCTGAGGTCTCCTCTGAAACTGCAGTAGGAGAAGGTATTTTCGCGTCGTGTTGCGTTTCTCGTCTCCTCGACGTTCTCCTGACAGCAAGTCAAGATATCCCAAAGTGGCCGTAATTCGCACCCGCTGCTCAGAACTTCGTCTGTGAGATGCTCTAGCTTTCTCTGCAGCTCTATCCCAAGGGCCTTCATCACGCGGTCTGCGCGGCGAGAAATCGCCACGTCCGTGTGTTGCTCCCAACGACATATCTTTCGTCGCCACAGCTCGAAGTCCTGCCAGCCCTTCCAGGGCTCCGAGTAGTCGCCCTTCTCGGACTTCCACTTGGCAGTAGACCAGTCCGTCCAGGTCGCTGTCCAGCTCTCGCCGGCGTCCCACCGCCAGGAGCTGTCCGAGCGCGCCTGCTACTGCTCGTAGTCATTCTTCCACCTGTCGTAACCGTCGGTGCGCCATTCCTCGCATTGTCCCTGATTCTCGCTCCAGTTTGACTGTAGCTCCCCAGAAGACTTCCAATGCTTAGAGGGCTCCTCTGGCTCCCACGGTTCGCGTTTCCAACTCATCTCCTCCGGAGCTGCGTCCTGCGAAATGGCACCTTTAGCACATAGCAGCTCCTCCTGAACGACATTTCTGATCATGTCCACCAGCCCTTTCATGCTACCAGCTCCTACACTGCGCAGGGTCGCGCCGACGTCCTGCGCGCCTGACTCTGACTCCTCGCCGACGTCCTGTTGTTTCGAGCCTTCTCCGGCCCCTTGTTCTGCGGCAGCTGCATGAAGATCGGATCGTGCGGAGGCGCATCAGCGTCCGAGCTCCCCGTACCTGGCATGGTCGAGGAGCTCCGCTACCACTGTTCAACGAAGCCCTCCTCACACTTGCTGCATCGCAGATGGGATGGAGAGAGGCGCTGTTTGTTCTGGGCGCTCGGACAAGAACGCAGGTTGCTAAAGGTGCCTATGACCAAAATGCCAACGGAACGGACATGTAACTGAACACACTGAGGCACACTCTACATATACACTTAAGCTCATGGGCCCTTACAGAATTACACACAAGGGCATAGTGGTGCGCAGATGCCTTTTGCCAGCGTGGTGGAGCCTTGCCCGACCTCCCGAGACGCACGCGCGAGTTCATTGGCCTCACATGTTTGTCATTCGGGTCTTGAGATGCCAGTCCTGACGTGCCATCTGACGCACTGGTCACTATTTCTAGCGCGCTGCCAGACGCACGTGAAACACAGGAAAATGATTGGCTCATTGGCCTTTTGCCTGCTAGTTCAAATTGACACAACCACTCATAAGGTCCGTCAAGTTCAGCATGGCGGGGATATTCCACATTCGGCTTTCGCAGACAAATGTCTCCATGTACCACTTGACAAGCAACCACACAAAGATCCAGACGAACATGACAGACGATGAGAACAGCAGCGCGGACAGGAGGACCAGTTTGCACTTGGCGTCACGGATCTGCCCAAGGAAACTGCTGAATCGCTTCAGTTCAGCGTGCTCGGACTTGAGAACTTTCTGATAGCGCGAGTAGATGGCCCACACATTACGTTGATACTCGGTGGCGCACAGCAGGAGGGTGTGCGCGGCGAGGGCGGCCTTCTCAGAAGGCGGGGGCTTTTTCGGAGGGCAAGGGCCTTCCTAGAAGGCTCCGCTGGCTTCTTAGGCGGCTTATAGGAAGCCGGAAAGCAAAAGAGGATCAGATCGGGTGATGCTGAGTCGAGAGTATCTGGGATCTCGCAGATCGGAGGATGTCTCGGGCTCTGCGGCCTTCGGAACGTTCCGGCACTCTCTGGGAGCACTGCGGAATGCTCCGGAACGGATTCGTCCTCGTCCTGGCCCCGTCTGGCCTTCCTTCTCAGAAGCTCCCCCCTTCTCAACAAGGCCGGCCCCCCTCGCGCCACCCCCGCGTGCGCGCCGCCAGGATACTTGGCAATGGAAACAATCTTCGCCAACACGAGGAGCATCGACACAAATGCCGCCCCGATGCCGACCCAGAGCGCCTTAGCGCCGTTGCACGACTCCGACGCCGAGCCCACACAGAGCACATTCGCATAAGTGGTCTGGAAGTGCAGATAGGTGCCGCAGAAGCAGACGCCGTAGATGAACACCCGCGAGAAAACACATCTCGTGATAGTGACGGCGCTGTTCATGAGCGCTCGCACAGCCTCGGAGCAGGGCGAGCTGAGACCACGGCAACTCAAAATCGGTCTGCGGACCCTCCCGAGGTCCACACGTAGCAATTTTCCGATCCGCGTCCAGCCGTGGCGACGAGGGCCCCCCACTCACCCGAAAACCAACTACCGTTGTCTCAACTCGCCCTCCTCTGACAGCCTGGATGAGCTCGCCAGACATCTTCTCCGTGTGAGTATCTTCGCCTTCGTACTTGGTGAGATGGCCAGCTGCCTTAGCGTGTTCGTGGAGCTCAAGGCACTGCATCTCCAACAAGATACCCATGCTACAGCACTCCGCGATAACGTCCATGACCGTAGATGACGTCCGCCGACCCCTTGGGGCACTGGGAGTCGGAGACGCCCACCCCTCTCAAGATTCATCTCCTTGGGAGGGAACAGTTCCCTCTGAGATCCAAGCGTCGCATTTTTTCGCAACTGGCGTTCTTGCCCTGTGTCGGGGCCTGGGACCCTCCGGGACCGATCCAGCTCGAAGAATGCCGCAGAAAGATGGGGTGCAGGGCTCTGGTCTAGTCATTGTCCCCGCAATCTCCGAAGTATGGGGTTCTTGTTATTGGTGTGATGATCCGCCTGCCTCCTTCCTCCATACCGCCTCCTTCCTCCCCCTCATCACAGCCAACACTCAGATCACTCATGCCAATACTCGCCCACATTCAGATCCACTGATGTTCTTACTCCTCTCGGCACTGATATTCGGGTCTGCTCATAATTGACTCACTCATACACAGACAACTCGCACTTAGATCCACTCCTCATACCCAGCCACGTCATGGTCAGACTCGTACACGAATGCCACTCACAGCATGATCATTCACAATCACAGTATGGTCACCGCGACGTAGCAGGCGTGGCATTTGGGCACGTCAAGGGGCAGCGACTGGGGATATTACACTCGGGGCGGTTTGCTCATTTCGTAGCTAGGGCCCAATTTTCAATCAGGTCGTGAGGATGTCTCTAACGAGGCGCTCGTTCAACACCCCGCGGCGGAGCCGCTGGGGGGTGTAATACTCGCCCGTTTGCGCCCAGATTGTGGCGATGGTTCAGGCGGTTTGCCTGCTTTGGCCCCCTCCCCCCCACATATATAACCCTCTCTCTTAAGAGCCCCACCAGCATCATCATCAGCATCATCACCAGCAACACCACCATCACCTTCCTCACGATCATCACCACCGTTACCAACGTCACAATCTAATCAACATGATAATAATCATCATCATCATCATCATCATCATCATCATCATCATCATCATCATCATCATCATCATCATCATCATCGTCGTTGTCACCGTCGTCATCATCATGATCACCATCATCATCGTCATCATCATCGTCATCGTCATCATCACCATTCGCCAGTATCATAATTCACGTCGTCGTCGTAGTCGTCATCGTCATCACCACCACCACCACCATCATCATCATCATCATCATCACCATCATCAACAAAGCCATCATCATCGTCGTCGCCGCCATCATTATCATCATCATCATCATCATCATCAACATCATCAACATCATCAGCGTCATCAACAGCAGAAGCAACAACTCATCATCATCATCACCATCGGGAGGGCGGGAAATTAAAGTGTGAGGCGTAATCGAGTTGGCATGCGAGAGCCCTAACGGGCGTGTCGGGCGGGCGGGTCGTCAAAATATGATGCAGACTCGGGTTTGCATACAAAAGCCCTAACACGCAGATCAAATAGCCCTTGCGGGGCATTGTACGGGTCGGGTGGGCGGGACACGAACGCGCGGTGCATAATCGAGTTGGCATGCGAGAGCCCGAACGGGCGGGTCGGGACGGGCGGGCGAGTCACTAAACGATTATGCATGTTCGAGATGGTACGCAAGATCCTACAACGCGTGGGTCGGATAGGGGATGCAGGACATGAAACGGGTCTAGCGGGCGGGACATTCAAGTGTGATACATCGTCGCGTTGGCACACGAGGGCCCTGACGGGCGGGTCGATCGGGCGGGCGGGACATTAAGCCGATCATCGTCTTCGTCGTCGTCATCATCATCATCACCATCAGCAGCATCATCGTCTTTATCATCGAAATCGTCACAGTAATCCTCATCATCATCACCATCCTCATAATACTAATCAGCATAATCATCATCGTCGTCGCCGTCGTCATCATCATTAGTATCGTCGTCTTCATCGTCATCATCATCGTCGTCCGTATCAGTACCATCGCCATAAATATCGCCAGTATCAGAATCAGCATCATCATCATCATCACTACCCCCACCGACTTCATCATCGCCAGCATCAGCAACAGCATCAGCATCAGCATCAGCATCATAATAATTAGCAGCAGCATCATCGTCATCGTCATCGTCATCGTCATCGCCATCGCCATCGCCGTCGTCATCATCATCATCATCAACAACATCATCATAATCATGATCGTCATCATAAACACCATCATCACCACCATCACCATTACCATCATCATCACCATCATCATCATCATCGTAATCATCATCATCATCATCGGCATCATGATCGTCATCATCAGCAGCAACAGCATCCTCATCCTCATCCTCATCCTCATCCTCATCACCATCATCGTCATCGTCAATATCATCATCGCAATCCTCAAAAGCACCATCAGCGCCAACTGCACCATCACCACCACCACCGTCACCATCACCATGAACCTCATCGCCGTCGTCGCCGGCCTCGTTTGCAAGCGCTGACGCCCGCGGTGAATGTTTGCCTGCTGCGAGAGGGGGCGGGGGGGGGGAGGGGGGGCGATCCTACGGTTCGACCCACCTCCCTTGGAACGAAGGCAGGGAGAGGGGGGGTCTCTCCCCCCCTCTCCCCTCCCTTCCAAGCGTCCACAAAACTCGCTCTGTCATGCAATGCATGGTCACCAGCGGCAGCTCTAGGATTCTTCTGGGGTCGCTTGCTTGCCGCAGTGGATGGTACCAGATGGCTTTCAGTAAGCTCGCGTAGAGCACAACAGGGGTCCCAGATAGTCCATGAGAAACCTCAAGGTGGCTCCATTGCGGTGCGAAGAACGCGCCAATATTATCCCCAGAGCAACCCAAACTGCCCTCAGGACGGAACAGGGTGGTCCCTGGAGAAGACCAGGGCAAACTAGGAAAGCCACACTATTTCCCGATACGGCTTCAAGAGCCCCCCGAGACGGCACCAAAGGGCTCAAATGAGAGGACCCCCGGGAGGGGCTCAAAATGACCGCGAGAACCACGTACACTCATCGTGCCACCATAAGGAACGCGGGGTAAGGAACGGAGGAGCTTTTCTGGCCACGGCGAGCATCGGCCACGAGTAGGTTCTCCGACCTGAATCGAAGGAACGGCTCGAAAACCAGAGCCCATCGTGAGCCCCAGGTAGTACTGATTTCAGAGTCGTGTCCGTAGTGGCCCAAGGAAGGAAACCCCGCCCCGCCCCCCAAAGCGGCCAAAAGGAGGAAGGCACGATTCGGATGGAGAGCCCTGTCCAGCCGCGCTCGCGCGCGAAGCGCCGTGCATCATCTCCTCGCCGAACAGGGTGGTGTACGCGTGCCTGTTGGTTGTCCACTGCACGGAAATCGGGAAATCTGCATCAGACGGGGTGTACTCGCCCTTACCGGTTTTCGCAGGACCTCCTCTAGGGACCGTGATGAAGACATCCTTGCCGTTTGCACTACTCGCACTCGACGTTGTGACCATGGCGGTTGCGCCCTCGAATCCATCCATCCACTGCTGCCACCTCGACATGTCCGTGATATGTTCATCGGCTGTCGCGATCCCCTTGACTTCGAACTCAAAGCTCCTGCTTTGGATGCATGCACGAACGGGGGGACGAGGGGGGAAGGGGGCGGCCTTCTGAAACGGCATGGGGGGCTACTCGAAAGGATCGGCTGCTTCTTCCAGGCTGCTGAGGAAGTGCGAGGCTTGAGTTTATCCACGTTCCCCTCCCGCAGAACCGATCTCACAGGGCACCAGTGGGCTGTAGATATGGGCACTCTTGGGCCCCAGGGGCTCCGAAAACCTGTCTCCATCCCCCGCCTCCCGAGGCGGCGGATGCGTGAAAAGCCACGGCGTCTTGCCTGGGTCACCTAACTTCGCGCGTCGCACGCCCACGATGCGCGGTTATCTTCGCACAGTCGAGCCGCCCCCGCTGGAGAAAGGCAGCTCTCCAGTCCAGACCGCGACGCGCGGAGCGTAATCATCTTGGTCTCAGAAGACAGGCAAGCGTCTGAGACGCAGGAGACGTGTCGGAATGCCCTCCCATAGCCCAGGACATTCGACGCCTTGATTTGTTCCAACCATCCTGTGTGTTGGGCTCTCGTCTTGAATACAGCACTACTCGCGCGTCTCCCTGCCCACCTCCTCAACCTACCTCTTCCTGCATCTTGTGGGTCCTCCTGCATCTTGTGCTTAACGGGGTGCTGCGAACTGAACAACTGTCGCAACATTCGTGGGCTCCTGGGAACATGGCAGAGTACAGGGCAGCGCAGATCACTTCGAGACCTCGGGGCTCCCTCGGGGGCTGCGAACTGCGCGACTGTCGCCACTTTCGTGGGCTCCTGGGATGCACGGCGGTGAGCAGGGCAGCGCAGATCACTTCGAGACCTCGCGGCTCCCTCGGGGGCTGCAAGCTGCGCATCTGTCGCCACGTTCGTGGGCTCTTGGGAGGCAAGGCAGAGTGCAGGGCAGCGCAGATCGTGCACATGGAGAGTTCTTTTGTATGGAGCGTTCATGCAAATTACCGTCTCGTGTGGAGGAGGGGTTGGAAACGTCTCCGGTAGTGTCCCATCCATCATGTGGTGATGTGTCCTCGTTTTGAATCAGCAGCGCCCCGCCTGCACTCCTCATCGTCTCCCCTCCATCCCCCTCGCTCCTCGTCACCATCGTCATCACCATCGCCATGGTCATCATCAGCATCAGCATCAGCATCAGCATCAGCATCAGCATCAGCATCAGCATCAGCATCAGCATCAGCAGCATCATCATCATCATCATCATCATCATCATCATCATCATCATCATCATCATCATCAACATCATCCATCATCAACATCATCGTCAGCATCGTCAGCGTCATAAACGTCATCACCGTCATCATCACCGTCGGCACCATCGTCATCACCATCACCATCACCATCACCATCACCATCACCATCATCCTCATCATCATCATCATCATCATCATCATCATCATCATCATCATCGTCGTCGGCATTGTCGCCGCCGTCGTCATCATCATCACCATCAACAGCATCGACACCAGCAACGGCAGCATCATCATCATCATCGTCATCATCACAAACAGCATCAACATCAACATCATCATCGGCATCAACAGCATCAACACCACCACCATCACCACCATCATCACCAGCATAATCATCATCGGCATCAGCATCAGCATCAGCATCATCATTCACAACATTATCATAATCACCATCAACATAATCATCATCAGCATCGTCATCATCATCTTCATCAACATCGTCATCAGCAGCAGCAGCATCAGGAACAGCAGCATCATCAGTAGCATCGTTATCATCATCAGCAGCAGCATCGTCATCATCATCATCATCAGCATCATCATCAGCAGCATCAGAAGCAACAGCACCAGCAACAGTAGTTCCACTGTCGTCATAAGCATGATTAGCAGCAACACCATCATCATCGTAATCGTCCTCCTCGTTCTCCTCCTCATCGTCACCGTCGTCGTCGTCGTCGTCATCGTCGTCATTAGCGTTATCATCCCTCAGGCGCTTCGTTTTCGCATGGCACCACCTCATCCATTTCGGCACACCCCTCACACGCTACGTGGCCCCCTAAATGGGCTCAACCGAAGGCCCGCGTGGGAGGGTTCGCATGGCGACACCGCACCACTGTCGGCACACCCCTCACACGTTTGGTGGTTTCATCGGGAGCTCCACCGAGGGCCCCAGTTCAGGGCTCCACCGCTTCGCCTGGCGCCATCGCACCCATGTCGGCACAGCCCTCAAACGCTTCGCTGTTCCATAACTCATAAGGGGGCTCCGACGAAGCCCCCTGTGGGAAGGATCGCCTGGCACCAGCCCATCATCGGCACACTGCTTCCACGTCTCGTCGTCCGATAGAGAGTTCCACCGAAAGTCCCAGTGGCAGGGTTCGCAGGGCGCCAACGCGCCCATTTCGGCGCATCGCTCAAAAGTTTCGTGGCAGGGTTCGCATGAGACCTACCGAAGGCCCCAGTGGCAGGGTTCGCATGGCGCTACCGCAACACATGTCGGCACATCCCTCCCACGCTTCGTGGCCCCATAGGGAGCTCTACCGACGGCCCCAGTAGCAGGGTTCGCATGGCGCCATCGCACCCATTTCGGCACACCCCTTACGCGTTTCCCAGCCCCGTAGGAATCTCCGCCGAAGGCAGGGTTCGCGTGACGCCACCGCAAGCATATCGGCACATCCCTCCCACGCTTCGTGGCCCCATAGGGAACTCCACCGAAGGCCCCAGCAGCAGGGTTCGCAACGCGCCATCGCACCCGACTCGGCACGCCCCTCACACGTTTCGCGGCCCCGTAGGGAGTTCCGCCGAAGGCCCCAGTGGCAGGGTTCGCATGGCGCCACCGCATCCATTATCGGCACACGCCTTCCACGTCTCGTCGTCCGATAGGAAGCTCCACCGAAAGCCCTAGTGGTACGGCTCGCATGGCGCCACCGTGCACATGACGGCCGTTCCGTGGCTCCATAGGGAGCCGTCCATTTTCCGCGCCACCTACCTTGCGGCACTCGCACCCGTACATGGTTGGGCCCTTCGCCCAGATTGTTCACGACCTGGCTCCCCAAAGGTCTGGACCCGGGGTGCTCTTAGACGAAATAGATATCCGGGCGAAGGACCCAGCTGCGCGTATCGCGAGGCAAGCGTGCTCGGCGTTCGATTTAGCTCCGCGCGACCTCGTACCAAACAGTATCGCGAGGCAGGCCCGACGAAGGACGGGACCACGAAAGGTGTGAGTAGTGTGCCGAAATGGGCGCGGCAGCGCCATGCGAACCCTGCCACTGGGGTCTGCGGCGGAGCTCCCTACGGGGCCGCGACACGCGTGAGGGGTGATGAGTGCAGCGGTGGCGTGCGGGTCCTCCCTCGATAGGCACCCTACGGCCTACGGGGCCGCGAAACGCGCGAGGAATGTGCCGAAATGCGGCGGTGGCATGCGGGCCCTGCCACTGGAGCTTTCGGTGGAGCCCACGGAGCGCGTGAGGGGTGCGACGAAATTTAAGCGCAACGGTGGTATGCGGGCCCTTCTACGAGGGCCTTCGGTGGGACTCCCTATAGGGGCTGCGAAACGTGAGGAAGGTGCCGAAATGGGAGCGACGGTCGCACACGGGTCCTCCCACTTGGGCCTTCGGTAGAGTTCCGTACGGGGCCGCGAACCGCGTGAGGGGTGTGCCGACATGGATGTGGCGGCGCCATGCGAACCCTGCTACTGGGGCATTCGGTGGAACCCCCTGTGTGGCCGCGAAGGGTGCGAGGGGTGTGCCCAAGTGTGCGCGGCGGAGCCATGCGGGCCCTCCCACCAGAACCTTGGGTGGAGCTCCCTACGGGGCCACCAAACCTGTGAGGGGTGTACCAAAATGGATGCGGCGGTGGCATGCGGGCCCTCCCACTGGAGCATTCGGTGGGGATCCCTAAGGACCCAAGAAACGAGTGAGGGGTGCGCCGACATTATCGCAGCGGTGGCATGCGGGCCCTTCCACTGGAGCCTTCGGAAGAACTCCCAGAAGGACCACGAAACGTGAGGGGTGTGCCGAAATAGATGCGACGGGGCCTTCGGTGGAGCTCTCTACGGGGCCGCGAGTGAAGATTTTGCCGGCATGGGTGCGGCGGACGTTGACGCGAATGCTCATGGTGATGCTTGCGCGGATGATCGCGATGATGTTAATATGGTGATTTCGATAATGATGCTGATGATGCTGACGATGATGATGATGCCGATGATGATGATTGAGATGATGATCCCCGCGGGTGAAAGGGACAGGAGATCCTAGCTCGCACTGCCCCTCGGACCAAAGCGTTTCTTTCTGGCCCTGCGTAGGCAACGCACAGTCTCGTGCGCCTCGGCGCACACACGCAGATTCGATTGAGTGCCGTGAGCGATCGCCCGCCTCAGCCGAAGCAAACGTGTGAATGATCACAGCAATCAAATGGACTCAGCACTCACGGCAGCCAGCCAAAAGCCACGGCTACCCATCCACCGGGCTGGTACGCAGCATAGCTGCACACCGCACCTGAGAAGCAGCTAGGTCCCTGGCACCAGGCCTCGCCGACACGGTTGCTCCTCAGGCCTGCGGGGATCGAACCAGAGCGCGGGCGGGCTTACGCTCTCGGGTCTCCCTCCACGCCAGAGTCACGAGCAGGGCAGCTGTCGCGAAACCGCGACAGCAACGTATACATTGAGCGGGGGCGCGCAAGCACGCCGAGCGAGGAAAGCGCTCGACTGCAACTCTCCATCAGCAGCGCAACGCGTCGACAGGCCCAAGCACGCCAGCACCGGCTTTGCTGCCGAAGGGGTCGGAGCCCGATCCCGAGTGAAGGCTAACCTTCTCTCTTGGGCCAGCCTCCGCGACATGGAGTCTGCTCCGCGCCGAGAAGCACGCGCGCCAGGCAAACGCGCGCCAACGTCGCGCCAATGACAGCCACGACGCCAACGCAAACTGCCTGAGGCCGTGCCTAGACCGGGCGCGGCAGCGCTCGGACCGCGAGCGCGAGAGCAGCGAGAGAGACTGCGAAAAAGCAGGGCACCGTACGCGCCGCTAAAGAAAAGGAAAAGGGCT